CCATGTGCTTTGTAGCTTTTTGTAAATGTTGTTCTTATCGCTGTCTCTCTCCTTATCCCTCTTCTGTCAGCAATTTACCAAGATTGAAATTGAAAAGCCGAAGGAAAGAAATGAAAAAGAAAGAAAGAGAAAGAAAGAATGAAAAACACGAATAGAGAAATGGAATATGAGTAAGAAAACAAAAAGGAAAACAAAGAAAGAAATAAAAGTAGAAAAAGAAAAAAAAAGGAAAGTGAGAAAAAGAAAAAAAAGGAATAAAAGAAGAATTAAAACAAGTACAAGAACGAAAAGAAAGAAAAGATATATCCACCTTTATTTAGTCTAAGGTCAACCGTTATCTATCCTTTATAAAGGATATCCACTTTATTAAGTCTAAGGTCAACCGTTATCTATCCATGATATCCATTTTTATTAAGTCTAAGGTCAACCGTTATCTATCCTTTATATTCTCATGATATCCACCTTTATTAAGTCTAAGGTCAACCGTTATCTATCCTTTATATTCTCATGATATCCACCTTTATTAAGTCTAAGGTCAACCGTTATCTATCCTTTATATCCTCACATGCTGGCCAAGGTCATTTTATTTGCAGGTAAGGTGATAGCCTCATCTTTTGGGGATGCAAAAGGCCTTGTGTTTAACTTTTGACTATCTTCAAAAGAACCACACCATGAATGGAGAGTACTATGCCAACTTGCCGAGGCAGTTACCAAAGGCCAAACAACCACGAACACTGACGAAACTCAGGATAAATCTCAAGCACTTCTAGGTTTCAATGGCTGATGTGTGTGACTATGAAGGAGTAATGCTAGAGTTGTCAAATCTTGCATGCTTCAATTTCAACTCTTCTTACTAATAACTGCATTGTTTCTTTCACGTGGGTTGGCATTGTGTTTATTGAATATCTTCAAAAGAACCACACCATGAATGCAGAGTACTATGCCAACTTGCTGAGGCAGTTACGAAAGGCTATCAAGACCAAACGCCCAGAAAAAACTGACGAAAAGCCCCGGCACACAAGTCCTTCACTTCATTGGTTCCTATGCATGACTCTGGTTTTGATCAACCTCCCTATTCTCCTGATTTGATTTCCATCTTTCCCCCAATATGAAAGAACACTTGCCTGGGTATCAGTAGCACAGTGATGATGACGTCATATCTGCTGTCGATGATTTTTTGCACCAGGAGGATGAATAGTCGTTTTTGAAACGTCAGGTGTCAGTTTACATGGAACGAAACAATGCAGTTATTTAGAAGAAGAATTGAAATTAATGCATGCAAGATTTCACAGCTATAGCATCAGTACTACATATTCGGCCTATGAACTTTCCAGCGCACCTTCGGATAGCATATATGATGCACAATTTCTGAATGTTAACTTTTGTCCGGCGCCTGAAATAAAAACACACACACACACACACACACACACACACACACACACACACATATATATATACATATATATATATATATATTTTTAAGCGTTTCACCCCAAGCAAGGCGGGAAGCCACTAGGATGCAAGGGGTTACAGGAAATAGCAAGATCAGATAGGAGTGATAGAAGAAAGGATGAGGGTAGGATCAAGGCAACTGGAGATGTCGATTGACATTACACTTGAATAGCTGGAGATTATAGCTCAAAGGGAAACAGGAGAAGGGAAGGGAGTTCCACAGGCGAGAGGTGCGAGACATGAAGCTATTAGAGTAGTAGAGACGGCTACATTTAGGAGTTTTGACAGTGAAGGGGTGAGAGCGGGATGCCAGCCTCGTAGGGCGCTGGAACTCATGACGTCTGGGAACCAGCGAATGCAGCTCCTCGGAACAATTTCCATGAAAGTATTTGTAGAACAGACAGAGGGACGGGCGTCTGTGAGAAAGTGACTATATATATATATATATATATATATATGATATATATATATATATATATATATCGAGAAAGATCGAGAGGGCTCCGCTTTATCAGCCTGGTTCAGCCCCCAACATACCATGTCACAACTGCAACAGACATTTCAGGGCAAAGATCTTACTCATTAGTCATCTCCGCAACCACCCCAAGTGATTCGAAGTCAAGGTCATCTCAGCTTAAGGACATATGGCACAGTGGATAAAGGTCGTTAAGACAGCGAAGAACTTGGAGAGGTGAATTAACAGAAGATAACTGATTACCGACATCCATTAGACATGGCACGTGGAACTAGAACAGTCTACCCCAGCGAGCGAGATAAAGGGTTCAGTTCAACATTCCAACCACCTGCAGAAGGCCGGAGCGCATAAAGGCCGAAACGATGTGATAAATATGCCAACAAAGATTAGGACAATAGTCTGAATAATGTAAATAGTGTACATAATACCTCATCACAGAAATATAGACAAACATTAAACAATAGTTACAAATAATCGCATTCTAACCCACAATTATTACAATTTGTAATATAGCTGTTACCTCCTACCCAATAACCGTTCGGATAATACAATAAACCGGAAATAGCTGACCTTCTTACCCATAATGCTTCACTGACCAGTATATAAGGCCATCACACAACACACATGGTCTGAAGATTGCTTTCAAACATGAAACATATATATATGTGTATGTCTGTGTAAATATAATTTTTTTCAAATATATCCGTTCCTAAAAGATATATTCCTTTCACAATCGAACACACATGAGGCAGAAATTAAAGGAAAACAATTAAATCAAAACAATATAAAAATGGACACTTAGACCAAGCAGCGAAGTCTGTTTCATGCTCCAATGCAATCTTCAGGCCACGTGTGTTGCGTTTTGGCTCGACTATTTATATATGCTGGTCAGTGGTGCATTATGGGTAATAAAGTCTATTGTATTATCCTAACGGTTATTGTACAGGTATGTTATTGTAGAGGAGGCACGGTGGAGTAATGGATAGCCGCTCGGATTGAGGACTCGGAGAGCCGATTCGAATTCCTGTCGAATCCATTACATTCACTTACGTGCTAATACACTTGAGAAAGGGATGGATCCTCTTCATCTCCACTCGCCACTGGGTATTTATTTATGGGTAAATAGCATGACAGACCGGGTTCCACAGCCTTGGATGGTCTACCGGGAAAATCTGCCTCGTCAGTCATGTATCGAAAGATACATGATCGCCTAAGCGTGTATCACGCATGGCACATACCTGACTGAATGGATAGCGACTAGGATTGAGGAATCGGAGAGCAGAGTTCGAATTCCAGTTGAATCCATTACATTCACTTACATGCTAATATACCCTTGAGAAAGGTATGAATCATTTTCTTTTCCCCTGCCCCCCCCCCTCCAGTTATAGGTAAATAGCATGACAGACCGGGTTCCACAGCCTTGGATGGTCTACCGGGAAAAATCTGCCTCGTCAGTCATGTATCGAAAGATACATGATCGCCTAAGCGTGTATCACGCATGGCACATAACTGATTGACTATTCTAGAGGCTATTTAGTAGGGATAATTGTGGATTCGGATACGATTATTTGTAGTTATTTTTCAGTGTTGTTTGTTTACTTTCATTTTTTATTGATTATTTAATTTTTTCGTCTTTTTTTTAATTATCATTACATTTACTTGTATTTATTTATTTAATTTGTTTTTTTATCTAATTCGTTTATTTTATTTATTTTTTCCCGGGTGTTGGTTATCGTATTTATTTTAATTCAGTTATTGCCTTTGTCTAACCTATAATACTTTAGCTGCGTCGTATATAGTGTACAAATTTGATTTACCAAGGTGGTCGTTTCACAAAGTATTCGTCTTTAGTTTTCAACTTTTAAGTAACGTAGTAAGAATTCGTTTTCGTGTCTGCATTTTGAGATAAGATATATATATATATATATATATATATATATATATATATATATATATATATATATATATATAAAGAAGTAATAGACATTTTTTATTAATCCGACAGATTTTATCACTTCAAACGTTATTTTTAGTGCATACCCATATTTAAGTAGACACTCCGGTTATTTATTAAACAGTAGATTTATTTATTTTCGTCAACTGACCTGGATATTCGAGAAATCTTATTAAAGACAAATATGCGTACTCCGGCAGGATTCGAACTCGCGTCCCCCTAGCAGAAGAAACCGTCGTTAAATCCGACGTACTATGGCACTAATACTATACAGGAGTAAAAAACATGGATTCTTATTTTTCCCAAAAGTACTTGTACAAAAGTGAATGCAACATGACGCTGCCACTTTCTGAGAAGATAAACAATATACGCGCATATATATATGTGTGTGTGTATGTGTATATATATACATATATATATATATGTGTGTGTGTATATATATATATATATATATATATATATATATATATATATATATATATATATATATATATATATATATATATATATATAGTGATTTTCCAAGCTTAGCTAAGATGTGGCACAAGGCCTAAAGTAGGGGGCACCCAGTGAGAATCGAACTCACTGATCAGTGGTAATTGTTCTAGCGAGACAAGCTATAACCATTACACCGCCTATGTAAAAAGTGCTCAATACATATGTGAGAAAAACAGAATAAAAATGAAATATAACGTGTAGAAATTTTTACTTTGAAAATCAGGAGATTAGTTGAATCTGCTACCTTGGTTTCAAACTTACGGTATTCCTCAGGAAATTTTTATCAATTGACCGCCCCCAACAAAAAAAAATAACAAATAACTAATGAACGCTATATCATTTTAAAAAAAAGTTCATATATATATATATATATATATATATATATATATATATATATATATATATATATATATAGTCACTTACCATCGTCTGAAGAGGTACAACGTATTGCCGAAACACGAAAGCTATTGTGTAGCGATTTCAACATGTTTTTGTTCTAATATCTAAAATAAAATTATATGTATAATCTTGTGTGTGAAAATCAACTTTCTTTAATCTAACATAATTTTTCATGGTGAAAACTAATCGAATTTGAAATTCCCTCATTCATACGAGCTTATCGCCATAACACGTTGAAACACTGGTTCTTGTAAGATGTCCGAACTTAAGCAACGTTGAGCCTGGTCAGTACCTAGATGGGTGACCGCTTGTGAAGGTTAGGTAAGCTTCAATGTGAATTAGATAACAGCTTGGAATTGAAAACGGGTGAGCCGTGTCACAATAGCAGTCAGGTTCGTTATATTTATCTACACTCAAATACGCTTGGGAAACGTACGAATTCACCTCTTCTCCGCCCACTATGGGTTAATTAACAAAACTTGCATCAATAAAAATTATTTTTATTTCCCCCGCCACAAATTTTTACAATCTAAACATATTTTCAGGCTTTAAATAATCTGCAAAGGGTTGATAAACCGTAGAAAACATATCAACCAAAAAATTACTCATACGGTTCTTATTCAGTGGCTTCTATAAAATCTCCTAAATATAGATCGTTGGTAAATTTTAATGAAACGTTAGCTGAATATTTAAAAAAAACAAAAAAAAAACGTTATTTGCTTTGATTCCGTAATCATGAACAATTCTATTCGTATGGGTTTATTTCTCAGCTAATGATTTATACGATTTTTTCATCAAAACAGTAAGGTAGAGAAAAACAGGGAAAGAAAACGACAAAGAAAGGAGGATGTACCACGACGAAATGACGTCATTATTACGTCAGGCTATCATTGCATACTCGATAGAGAGAAAATTCCTTTTATTTCTATTTATTTATTTGCAGTGTTTTTGTCTCTCTACTACTTAATTTTACAATTTTTTTTAGGAGACGTTAAACATTTTTCTTTCTTTCTTTCTTTCTTTCTTTCTTTCTTTCTTTCTTTCTTTCTTCAACCAAATCCTGTCTTTTTTTTTCGTCTTTCCTCGCGATCAAAACGGAAGAGTCTATTATTTATGGGATATTGTCAGATCATAACATAGATATCAACGAACTAACGAATTAAGTAAGGAACGGAGAAACACGCGGAAATAGGTATGTGTGTGTCTGTGTGTGCATATATATATATATATATATATATATATATATATATATATATATGTGTGTGTGTGTGTATATATGTATGTATTTGCGTGCGTGTGTGTACGATTAATAAATACAAATATGAAATGTGTGACTCAGCTGATTAATGTTAGATTCAGCATACTGACTCCAGAGTTTCGCAGACAGAGATTTTAGTAATCACTTTGTCCACAGACCAGGAGGTATTAGAAATTGATGGTTTATTTTTTAATTTTCGTTAATTTTTTTATTTGTTGCAAAAATAATGCACTCTTTATTGGTGTAAGGTTGCCTTTTTTTCATCTTTCATTGAGTGTATGTAAGTACGTGCATTGGTGAGTGTTCGTGTCTGTATTCTCGAGTATGCACACACAAACATACACACACACACACACATATGATAAACTTATATTTTTTTATGTGTTAAAGTGCTTAATATTAAGGATAGTTCGTATTTAAATGCAACAATGGATACTAAGGTCAACACCAAGCAACGACGGTCTGTTTCATGCTTATAATAATCAGGCAATAATCAGGCTATATATATATATATATATATAATAATGAAAAGTGCATATTAAAAAGAAAAATCGAGAAGTATAAGCAGTCAATTGCTGATATCACCTGACGAGTGGGCAGAGTGATTTCTGGTCGGTCCGTCTATGAAACTCTGCAATTAGGATGCTGAAGGTAACGCCAATCAGTTAAGTGACAAACATTTTACTAGTGTTCTTTCTTTCTTTCTTTTTTTCTTTCTTTCTTTCTTTCTTTCTTTCTTTCTTTCTTTCTTTGTCTGCTCTCATAAACAACTGTTTCCCGCCTCCCCTATATATCTCTCTCTAGACATGCATCTCTTTCTCTTTCTTTCTCTTTCTCTCCTCTCCAACATATTAAGACTTTATTTTAAAACAAATCTTATGTTTAAATATTTCGTTTGCCGGTACTTGGATGAATTTTTAAATCCATTTATTGTTGAAACCGTTAAGTCTGATGAGACTAGACTGAGGAATCCTGCGAAATAAAATATTACTATGTGTTTCTAAAGTCTCCGTTTTTCATAAAATTATATATATATATATATATATATATATATATATATATATATATATATATATCATTAATTTCTCGTATATATATATATATATATATATATATATATATATATAGATAGATAGATAGATAGATAGATAAATTGTGTGTGTGTGTGGGGGGGGGGGTGAAATTAATGATTTTCAAAAAATAATTCGACATTAATCCTTATAAATGGTATTCCAATAACTTGGACCGATTTTAAATGTGAATTCAATTTAAGTGTCTCATATCATATTTTTTCTTTTTCTTTCAGATTCGGCAGACATTTGGGCGATATTATTTTTCACACATAATTTCCATGATCCAATAGAGAAATAAATACATTTTCACCAATAACACTGATTTATTTAATGCTGACTTTGATCTGTCTTAATGAAACACCTATTTGTATAATCCGTCTTAATGAAACACCGTTTATTTAGTGGATACACGTATTTGAATAGACATCACAGTTTTCTTCTTTTTTTCTTTTAAACAGTGTAACTGACGTCTACTGGCCTGGGAAACCAAAATATTACGTCCATTATACTATTTTTATTCTGTTTTGCTTTTTTTCAAAAAACGGTAGGGTAACTAACCAACCACGTGTATCCCTTAAATACTAACGTTATACTACTACTACTTCTACTTCTTCTGCTACTACTACTACTAATAATAATATTAAGAAGAAGAAGGATATTAATAAGAGTCACATATGTCTCATTGAAAACGATGGACAAGGAAGATTTCATCAGTTCTTTATTTTTTCTAGTGTCCATACAGTGTTTTTCTTTAATGATCACGAAGAATATGTAGAAAATGTTCGTATGATTATTGTTCTAAAAAAATCACTTACACACACATATACACAGACACACACATATATATATATATATATATATATATATATATATATATATATATATATATATATATATATACTAGCTGTATAACCAGTCTTCGATCGGCTGTTTTATTACAGAAATATTTATGGTTCAATTAGAGCAGTTTATGCTTAAAGTCAGCCCACCCGAAAATTAATATTAGTAACAACATTTGGGTGCAACTGAGGCACATCCCCAAATTGGGGGTTAACAATTTGAATGCGGGGGGGGGGGGCTGAAAAGGGCTGTTTTTGTGTCCTCAGTCTTGCAAGGAAGGAACCTCTTCCATGGACCGTCATAATAATAATAATAATTTTTATTTATACACCCCTGGTCAAAATCTTAAGACCAGATACAAAAGGGTTAAAAAAATATAAAATACTGTTACTTTAATCAAAATGTATTTGCAAAACATTTACATTTAATTAGAAAATGTAGTTTATCAACAAACAAGTGAAAATTTTAAGCTTTTAGTTGATTAATTTAAACAAACATTGAAAAAAGGATTTTTTTGTTTGGTCATAAAGATAAGACCATGTGTGAAAAAAACAAATTACAGTGTAACTCGGATATAAGAGACCCGGATATAAGAGAAACCCGGATATAAGAGAGATTTTCTCTGGTCCCAAATTAGAGCCTGTGTTAATGTATATAAAATAGACCAAACCCGGATATAAGAGAAACCCGGATATAAGAGATTTCTTCTCCGGTCCCGACAACTCTCTTATATCCGGGTTACACTGTACGAGACAAAAATTTTAGAACAAGTTAGTGTGCTCATACCTTCAGGCATGTAGACATCTACGTGGCTCATTTCCAGTATTAAATTTCAGATTTTAAAATGGCTAAGGGTAAAATTTTAACAAAGTTCGAACAGGGCAGGATTGTTGAACTTCAAAGACGTGGTCTTTCGCATCAAGCCATTGCAAATGAAATTGGCCGTAGTGGAACTGTCATTGCTAACTTCATTAAAAATCTGGATGCGTATACTTCTAAAAAAATCAAGCGGTCGCCTCAATAAAATCTCACCATCTCTAGTCAGACGCATTAGGCGTAAAGTTAAGAGAGATCCAAGCATAAACGTTTCGCAAATATATTTTGATTAAAGTAACAGTATTCATTTTTTTTTAACCCCTTAAGATTTTGACCAGGGATGTAGTATATATATATATATTTTTTATAATTCTAATAATCTTTTGCGTTAGATTTCAACTCTCTAAATTGATTGTACGCTGTTTTTTTTAACAGAGATTAAATTTTGCCTTTGATTTTTGTGCAAAGTCTAAAAAATCAGTTTATTTTTTATTTTTCATCTTCAGGGTTGTAATTTGTTTTCCAGCCAATTTGGACTCAAAACCGGCGCTGAAGAATTATCTATCAAACAAAAAAAAAAATTATCAAAATCGGATGAAAACTGTGGAAACGCATAAACAACCTCCGATCACACACACACATATACATACACACACATTTTGAGAATTATAGATATAGATGTATGTGGGTGTTTGTTAATACAAATCATCAAACATCTATATTTTAAAAATAATTTCCAGTTTTTCTTTTCTTTTATTTTTAATTTATAGGCTTTACTATACAAGAAAAAAATATATATATAGAAAGAGAAGGAAATTTAAATATACTCTACTTGAGACATGTTATTATTTTACCTGAATAAAAATTCCTGTACGTGAAAGCTGAAAAACGTGAAAATTTGTATCATTGACTGCCAGAGGCCAAATACGAAATCTGACAGCAAATGCCAACTAATTTGCTTATTGACACTTGTGAGGTTTTTTTGATGCTTCATTTTATATGTTGCTATTTTAAATAAATCTTTCCCATAAAAAGTTTGTTTCTAGCACCATTTTTCATTCGTGCAGTCGAAGGCAAGGATGAAAAAATCCGGTATCAGTTGTTGGCGTTAAAAGAAAACGAACAAATTTCTGTTTGTAGCCTTCAGGTAAAAAACTACTTAAACGAGATAACTCGTAGTCGTTATAATAATAAAAACGAGATAACTCGTAGTCTTTATAATAATAAAAACGAGATAACTCGTAGTCGTTATAATAATAAAAACGAGATAACTCGTAGTCGTTATAATAATAAAAACGAGATAACTCGTAGTTGCCAATCAATGTGTTAAATGAAT